GCTGGCCGAGGTGTTCCGGGTAGGCGCCTGCTCCCCACCCCGGGGGCGGGAAGGGGGTCGGGGAGGGGGGACGGGGAGTGGATGCCATCCGGGCCACCTGAGAGGGGGGAGATGGAGCCCGCTGTCCCCCCTCCTTGGAGGGAGGGTGCTGAGTTCTGAGTACTCGTTACGCTGGAGCCGGTGGCCTGCTGCGTGGGGTTTTGTCATTCATTCATGCATGCATTCATTCATTCATGCATGCATGCAGGACTTGGGGGTCCAAAAAAGAGGGTGTTCGTCACCAGATGGTGACAGGCGGCCGGCCCCAGGGGTCTGCGCGTGCCTTTGTTTACCCAGCCCTTCCTGGGGAAGCCGGTTCCCACGCTCCCTGAGCTGGGATTGCGAGGGGGTGCGGGCCGGTCGGCCTCTTCCCGGGGTGTGTGTGTTGGGGAGAGGGGGGAGATCAGATTCCTGTCCGCAGACTCCCCGCTGACCGTCTGTCCCGGCGTCCGTCTCTTGCAGAACGTCCCTGTGTCTCCAGAATCCTGCCTGTCCCTGGAGAGCCCCCCCCTCCTGGCCCTCCCTTCCTGCCAGAGACCCCAGCCTCAGCTCCAGTGGGGGTGCTGGGGTCCCGACGTCACAGAGCTGCTGCCGGGTCCCGGGGACCAGGAGCCGGGCCCCATCTTCCCGCTCAGCGTGGTGAGCCCGGGCCTGAGCCCTGGCCTGAGGCTGGGCGGCTGCCCTGAACTTTGGCACGAGGATCTGGAAGGGCCGCAGCTGGGCATCTTCTAACGACTTTGCTGCCCCTGGGCAGCCCCATCGGCCCGCGGCGTGGACGCCTTCCCTTCCTCCTTGTTTGCTTCCCCGGGGCCTTTTGAGCTCTCTGGTAGCTACTCGTTTTTGTGAAGGATGGATGCCTCAGTGCCAACAGACGGACAGATGAACGGCGGGGCCCTCCTTGGCTGAAGGGGGGGGCAAGAGCACCCTCCACTGCCTGGCACCCCCGTGCTCTGACCTGACCCCAAAGGCAGCCAGGCTGGAAAAGGGGGGAGGGGGCGGGGCCAGGCCTGGGCTCCCCACCCTTGGTCACTGCAGTTCAGAATCCTGTGGTTTATTTTGTAATTGTTTTAAAGAACAAAAGTACCCACCCTGAATTCGGTGTTGTCTGTGTTTTCTTCTATCAACCCCGGCTCTTCTTGGAGTAGGAAAAGTGTCTGTGTGGGGAAGAGCCTGCTCCCTTCCCCCCATCAATCCGGGCACGCCAGCTTCACGCCGGCCTTCACAACAACTGGACGTTGGTTGTGGCCACGGGTCTCTATCATTAAGTTTCTGCTCCCCAGTCCTGCGGCTGTGACAGGAGCTAAGAATAAAAGGCAAGGGGCTGGGAAGGTGGCTCAGTGGTAGAGTGCTTGCCTCGAGGTCTTGGGTTCGATTCCTCAGCACCACATAGGAAAAAGCTGGACATGGTGCTGTGGCTCAAGTGGTAGAGCGCTCACCTTGAGCACAAAATCTCAGGGGACAGTGCCCAGGCCCTGAGTTCAAGCCCCACAACCAATTTTAAAAAAATAATAAAAGGCAAGTCAGGTGTTAGTGGCTCACACCTGTCATCCCAGCCACTCAGGAGGCTGAGTCTGAGGATCGAGGTTTAAAGCCAGCTTGGGCAGGAAAGTCCGTGAGACTCTTCTCTCCAATGAACCACCAGAAAACCACAAGTGGTGCTGTGGCTCAAGTGGTAGAGCGCTGGCCTTGAGCAAAAAGAACTCAGGAACAGCGCCCGGGCCCTGCACCGCCAGGATCTCAGAAGGGAAGCCGTCTCCAGGTTGCTGTTGGCATTGGAGCCAACCCAGCGTGATCTGGTCCGCTGGCTCGGGGAGACCCTGGGGGAGACCCTGGTGGCTTTGCAGCCGGCGTGACGGGTGCCGGACGTGCGGGAGTCTGACGAGATGCGCCAGGCGAGGGCGGGTGACAGCTGAGGCAGCCATGCGCCCGGAAAGGGTTAAATGGAGTTGGAGGAGAGGCTGGGGGAGGCCGGGCCTTGCTGGGCAGGGGAGCGGCCAGGCGGGAGCCCGTGGAGGGTGAGCTGGCTGAACTGGCCAGACAGAACTCTTGGACCCTTCATCTGGTTCACAAACAGGGAGGCCGCGGTTCAGGCCAAGCTGCGTTCGGCCACCCCGAGAAGCCCGTGTGGCTGCCGACGTGCCGGGCATCGGGCCTCCCTTCCTCTCCAAGCCTCCTTTCTCCCCTCTCCTAAAGCAGAAACTGGCAGGGGTGGGCACGCAGACACCAAACCTTCCTCTAACCTTCTAGAACCTACTGTCCCCTAGAACGGCCAGCCAGGATGACGGCAGAGGGATAGACAGGCGGTGGAAGGCAGACACCAGGACCCCGCACGCAGGTACGCAGCGGGACTGGGTGGTGACCGCTGTCCCTGGCTGGAGGGGTTTGTGCATGTGAAGAGCTGCCAGAGGGAGAGGAGCATGGCTGGGGGGGGCTGCGGCCCCCCTCTCCCCCCCAGGAGGTCCATCTGTGACATCCTGGGCCACGCGCCCGCCCGGGCACCTCTGAAGGTGGGGGGGGTTGAGGCGGGTCCCCACCCCCATCCCCACCCCAATGACAGCTCACCCCTTCCTGGGGTCCCTGGCAGACCCCTGGGAATCAGACATGGCAGATCCTGCTCTGGACCTCCCGAGGACTGCGTGACCCCCCGATGACCGGCGTACCGCGGGGGTACGCCGAGGGCAAGCGCCCAGGGCAGGCAGGTTGAGCCTTCCGCTCATGGGGTCCAGACTGCGGCCCTCAAGGCGTGACGGCTTCTCTAGAACCCCTGGAGGAGCCGGGACTGAGACACGGGTCCCCAGACCCCTGCCAGCCTGGCCCCACCCCGCCCACCTTTCCCTTCACTGCACCCTGCTTGTGCTCTCCCCATGTACACAAAGGTGAGTCTCCTCTCCCCGCACGCCACTGCCTCTCTCATTGCTGTAATGAGACAGCCGTTGCGGTGTGGCGTGGTGTGGTGTGGTGTGGTACGATGTGGTGTGGTGCGGTGCGGTGCAGTGTGGTGCGGTGCGGTGTGGCGTGTTCTCATCTGCTGGGAGTCTGGGTAACCCAGAAAGCCATGGTTCTGACCCTAGAACAAGTAACCTCTGGGCCGTTTCTGCTGGATGAGCTCAGCCGGTCCTCTTCCCGCAGGCCTTGGTGCTGGGTCTCCTGGGGTTGGGGGGGGGGTACAGTTCCCTGCTTTCCTGCAGCCTAGGAAGGCCGGCAGCCTCTACCCCCCCCCCAGCTCCAGATAAAGGATGGGCTTTGCTCAGCTGGGGCATGGCAGCTAAGAGTTGTGACTCACCCTCCTGTGCCTCAGTTTCCTTATTTGTAACAAGAAGGTAGGGCTGGGCTGGTGTTATGGCTCAGTGATAGAACACTAGCCTCGTTAGCTAGTGGCCCACCACTACTACTCAGGAAACTGGAAACTGAGATCTTTGATGTTCAAAGCCACCATGGCTGACTCATCTCCAATTAACTGCTAAAAAGCTGGAAGCAGCACTGTGGCTTAAGCTAGAGTAGAGCAACAAAGAGGACAGCGCCCAGGCCCTGAGTACAAGCTTCAGGACTGGCACATGCGTGTGTGCACACACACACACAGAGGAAACCCTAGCTTAACATGCCTGCACCTCAGACGGCGATGCCAGGCACAAAGGATGAAGACTTCCCGGCAGCCCCCAGCACGGAGCCTCCTCGGACTCAGGGAGGGAGAGGCAGGCCCCTCCCCCAGCTAGATCTCGGGTCAAGTGCCAGCCGAGGCCGCTGGGCCCTGGCGACAGGAAGTGCGGGCTGGGCAGTACCCGGGGGACTTAATCTGGGGCCTTTGAGGTGCAAATGGTGGAGAAGGTGGGGTTGCTTCTCACCTGGGAGGGGAAGGGAGGGGAGGCAGTAGGCTGGGAGGAGGAGGAGGAGGATGTGGGACAGAAGTTGTTCAGGCTCTGCTCCCTAGTGTCAGGCCGACCTCCCAGGCTAAGTATGCACATGCCCAGAGCCACAAACCCACCCCACAGTCCTGTCCCCCCAACAGCAGCTGGGCATCGTCTAGAACCAGAACCCCAAGATGCCTGCGGGGGTGCCTGCTGTATGGCACAGGTGCCCACGCACCCCTCCATTTTGCTGCCGTCAAGCTTGGGATTACCCAGTGCATGGAGAAATACCGTGTGTGTGTGTGTGTGTGTGTGTGTGCGCGCGTGCGCGCGTGCGTGCATGCATGTGTGTACGTGTGTGTGTGTGTGTGTGTGTGTGTGTGTGGTGCGTTCCTGGAGTGCAGACTTCTCAGCCACCCCGTATGACAGGCAGGGTGCACCCTCATTTCCTGAGCCCAGATTCTGCGCCCCCCCCCCATGACCTGGAAAAGCACAGCTCAGGACCCCAGTGCGCACAGCCTGGAGAAGGCGGAACCAGGTACTGACAGCACCCACTCCCGTCCCTCCTGTAGGGGAGGGGCTCCCTCCGCCCTGCAGAACCTGCCCTCACCACCTTGGGGAGACACCCCCCCCCCGCCTCCGGCCAGGTCACCTCCTGGGGACCCCAGTACCCAGCCCCCCTCCAGCCTCCATGGGAAGTGTGGCCTCAGGTATTGGGAAACAGGAGTTGGGAACCTGGAAGTCTCTAATTGAGGACTCGCACCTGGCCACCACTGCCCAGTGGACTGGATCTAGGGAGATGAATTCCTAGGAGCTGTCACCAGACGTGCTCAGCCCCCAAGGCTAAAGCTCTTCTCCCACTTTTTTGTGTGTTTTGGTTAGTTGTGGGGCTTGAACTCAGGGCCTGGGTAGCGCTGTCCCTAAGCACTTTTGCTCAGGACGAGCACTCTAACCACTCTGAGCCACAGCTCCACTTCCGGTTTCCGGTGGTTCATTGGAGGTCAGTCACACGGGGACTTTCCTGCCCGGGCTGCCTTTGAACTGTGAGTCCTCAGATCTCAGCCTGCTGATCGGGAGGATGATGGGCGTGGGCCACTGCGCCGTCCATCACTCTTGTAGCAGCCACTTACTCTGTTCCTGCCTGGCAACTCTGCCTCCATTCTGTGTTTCTCTGTCCTGTGTTCGAAGCCGTTCCCTCCCTGGTTTCCGGAAGGATGGCACGGAGAGGCCTTAGCCAAAGTACAGCCATTCTGGACTTAGACTCCACTGTGAAGGCCTTTACTCAAAGTGAGGACTGGGTTCCTGGAAAAACTGCAAAATGTCCCAATAACGTTCCGCTCGTAACTGCTCTAGCGTAGTTAACATAGTTTGCTGCTTAGCCGCTTAGCCTGCACACGCTGGCCAGCAGGATTGTTACAAAATTCACTCAATGTCAACCAATCATGTAACTGCCAAGCCAGGATCCCCCTTAGCTCAACACTATACCCTATAAAACCCTGTGAACTGAAGAGTCGGGCTCTGATGGAGGTGAGTCCAGGCTCCAGCTTCCAATCAACGGCTCTGACTCTCTTGGGCTTGCACTGGAATCGCCAACTTGGTGGTCTTTGGGGATCCTTATCTGGGCACAGGATCTCCTTCATGACAAAGGCCCAAAGACCCCGCAGAGCCCTGCAGGACACAGCTCCCCCAAAGAGAACAGTTACCTCGAAGGACCAGGCTGTGCCTTGAAACAAGAGCTGTCATTGCACGGAGCCAGATGCACCCACCTGGAGTGAAACCAGCCATATTCCTTCCCCGGAACCCCCAAAACCAGCACCCAGAGATGTGGTCACGCTTGTCTACCCTGCCCCAAACCGACTTAACCCCGAAGCCCCTGTCTATACCCAGATGATCTGAGGTGCTGTCTCCCCGCGGCAGGTCTTTCTCTGATGTCTCCTCAGAAACTTCCTGATCACTTGAGGAAGAGTCCTCTTCCTCAGTTTCTCTTGTGCAAGATGGAGTTTGAGCGGCTATGAATCTCAGCAGCAGGCCGGCACCTCCACCTATCCTCTTGGGGTCCCAGACTCCCCCAGTGCATCCACATATCCGGGTGTCTGATTGCTGCCTACCTGCTGGGGCTCCAGCTCCGGCTGCAGGAGTGAGACTCGAGGCTCATCTACAAATTCTTTATTTACATTTTTACTTAGAAAAAAAAATACAGATCTGGTGTGCTATGGATTCCTTGGGTTTGGGGTCCTCACGGAGAGGTGAGGGGTGAGGGGCAGCCCCCACAAGGCTGCCACTGTCCACCAAGAGTTTCTGTACCCCTGGCCCTGGAGCTGGGGGTCCCTGAGCTCAGCCCCCAGCCACAGACGGGGGCCGGGGGTGGGGTATGGTGAAGGGCAGCGGCTGGGAGGGGAGGGACTGGGGGTGGGGAGCATGAGGCCTCGGGAGGGCCTCGAACCTGAAGGCTACCCTTTGAGGGGCAGACGCTGCGAGGCTCTGCCCTTGGCTGGTGACTTGACAAAGGGAAACTAAACTACTGGCTGTTGGCCATGAACCAGCTGAGCACCGGGTCCTTGTTCTCCTTCACCCACTTGATGTTGGCTTTCGTCTTCTCCAAGGCCTGCTCCAGAGCCCGGGTGCCCGAACCGAAGCCCGTGTCCATGTTGTCCATCTTGAACTTCTCCAGCTGTCGACCAGACAAAGAGTCTCAGCCCTGGGCTGGGGAAGGGGGGAGGACGAGAAGAGAGAGAGGAGAGGGAGGGGAGAGGAGGAGGGAAGGAAGAGAAAGGAGGGAGGAGGGAAGGGGGAAGAGGGAGGGGAAAGGAGATAGACAGGAAAAGGGAAAGGGAGAACAGGGAGAGGGAGGGAAAGAGGAGGGAGAGGGAGGGGACAGGGAGGGGAGAGAGTCTCCCACTTCCCATGGGCACTTGCAGGCCTGGGGATGGGGTCACGTCTCTCCCCAGGAGGACAGGGGGACAAGGTCCCAAGCACCCCGGATTGCAAGGCCACAGCCTCAGCAGAATTCGGCTGGAGCAGGTGCCCCGGCCTTCCTTATGCAACTTTTTATTAACTGAAGTCTAATCTCCACGCAACCAAGACAGGTGGAGGGGCGCACTCCAGAGGCCCCACGGAAGCTGCTAGAAGCCTCTTCAAACTGCAACCTGGTGGAAACGCCCACCACCCAATGACCCAGTTGCTGGCACAGATACTCGGCTTTTGAGGGGAAGGGGGCTTTAGATAGAAAGCCTAGAGGTTCTAGCCAGGGCAAAGTAGGCCAAAAATGGAAGAAAAGGCAACCCAGAGAAGAAGAAATCAAACTTTCTTGATTCAGATAGCAGAAAATCTGCCACTCTGGTGATTGACTGAGGATTCTGTTCATTATGGTAAGAATATTCTGGACTTAGTGGCAGTGGGCATACAGACAATATTGTAAACATATCAAAAAGCACTTAACATTTGAGTTTTGTGGTGCTTGAATTCTACCTCATCTGTCAGTCGTGGGACTTGAACTCTGGGCCTGAGCACTGTCCCTGAGCTCTTCAGCTTGCGGCAGAGAGCTCTACCACTTGAGCCACAGCGCCACTTCTGGTTTTCTGAGTGTTTTGTTGGAGATAAGAGTCTCATGGCCTTTCCTACCCGGGCTGGCTTTGAACCGTGATCCTCAGATCTCAGCCTCCTGAGTAGCTAGGATGACAGGCATGAACCACAGTGCCCGGTTCCTACCTGGATTTTTAAGAAACAGAACTGGACACGTAATCCAGCTGCTTGGTGAGGGAGGCGGGATGACCTGCGCCCAGGAAGTGGGGGCGGGGCAGCCTCTCAGCCAGGCTCTGCTGCTTACCTGCTGGAGTTCGTACTCGGTGGAGAAGCGTCTGGTCACCGCCTGAATGAGGTTGGCGAAGGAGAAAGAGCCGCCGCCATAACTGCAGGGTGGGGGGAGGGGAGGGTGAGTCCCGGGAAGGGCAGGGGGGGGAGAGGCAGAGTGCCCATCCTAGTCCTGCACAGTCCCAGGCACGCGGGGGCACTGGGCAAGAGCCTGGCCCTGGCTCCCCCCCTCCCCTCCTCCAGCCTGCCCTGGCTCCTCCCCTCCCCACCTCCAGCCTGCCCTGGCTCCTCCCCTCCCCACCTCCAGCCTGCCC